TGAATTTTAAAAAAATTCTTCACTATATCAAGATCTTCACTATATCGAGAGTTCACTATAACGAGAGTGACTTGTATAAGGGGTTACTTTCACGTGAAGTTACACGTACAAATACGCAAAGTGATTGGTGGTCAAAATAACTAACCAATTGAATTTGTGTATTTTGCTGTGTAACTTCACATGCATAAAAAAGGCAAGTTGTTTTTCAGCTATAATGCAATATCCAATAAAAATTGTGATTCATTTTTTCGTAATTTTTAGGGTCCTTGCACTGGCGCTGTTCAAATCATCGTAGTTGATCTTATGATCGAGCCATCAAACTATATCGTACAGTTAATTTTAATCTCCGAAAAACTACTGCATTCTGGTCTAAACCACTAGTTCGTATATAGATTATAAATAAATTGCATAATATTACTAATAACATTTGAACTACCATCAAATAACATTATAGTCCAAATGCTATTATGGACCTACTAAACTAGCTAATGGTTTGAACTTGAACCTATCATCTTTAAACAAAGACCAGAATAGACAAACCTACTCCAAGTTGTAACACCGATCAACATTTTAGATTGTTGAGAATAATTGAGATTTACACATATAATTTTTAAATAAGGTAACTGTACGACATTGTCGTGCTAAAACCAGGAGCATAAACAATGATTTATAATTTCATTTATAATATAATAAAGTGAAATTTTATAAAAAAAAACCATCAAAGAGTCTATGACGACATAAATTACTCGTAGCTAGCCAAAATATGAACGAAACATTAACATTATATACACAAGAATGTAGATCATTGTGTCATGAACATCAAACTCTAATTCGATCATACACTCCTTTGCTGGTAAATTTATATATTTAATTTATTTTTGTGTTAAAAATTTAGAATGAAACTGGAATTAGTTAATGTTCGACCTTAATAAGGACTTCAGAATTTGATTTATTTATTAGATCAAAAATTGATTTCTCACCTGAATAATTTTTTTATTTTTCATTGTTGCATCATTATTGAATTACCTATTTTCTATTGTTATAAGCACCGATACATATAATATCGTTTCTGACCCTTACTTTTATTACTTTCACTTATGTTTTTATTGTCGTATCACTACCTTTCATTATACCACTATCAAAGTTAAACCTACATCAATATAACCTGCTCCCAACTTTGATAGTAGCATGCATAATATTTATTGAATTATTTAACCTCGGTTTATCGAACCTTGATATTTTGAATGATATGGGCAATCGTAAAATTTTAATTTGGAATCTTGCGGTGATTATCCTTGTTATTTTGACAATAAAACATAGTGAAGAAAGTAAAATAATTGAGTACGATTTAACTGGCTATGGAGGAATACTCATTGCTCGGCAATTTGATGATGGGAAAATTTTAATTGCTACCTTGAATGAACATTCATACTTGTTATATTTCATTTATCAAAATGGAAGCATAATCCCTGTAAATTATGAACATTCTATAAATCTTAGCAATTCAAGTAGATGGTTGCTTCATGATCTTAAACCTTTAGCAACAGATCATGTAATTATGATATATTACGATATTCGTAATCTAAATGCTACTATATTTGGAATTATTATAAATATAAATTCGCAAGGCAAAATGACGGAGTAGGTTTTTTATGTTTCTATGTTCAAAGAGGTTATATAGTTTCTATAATATGCTAATATTTATTTTTGTAGTAATATTACTTTATTACATAATTACGAATTATCGTCAGATAATTATGATATTACGGAATATAACAGCATTTCCCAAAGTTTTGTCGTCACACATAAACTAATATATTTTAATCCTACCATCATCAAGTTTCATAGAACTTTAATGTGTCAATACCAGGAATGAAGTGA